GGTGGAGGGCTCCTCTGATTGGGTTGTGTTTGAATACACTCGTTAGCGGCAACACGCGCTGCTTCGGGGCGGACGGGGCGCGGACCGGACGCAAGCGACAGCGGTTGTAGCGGCGCGGCCCGGCAGCAGGGCACAAGGAAGAAGAAGAGGAGGAAGTGGAGGAGAAGGAGGAGAAGGAGGAGGAGGAGGAGGAGGAGGAGTAAAGCAACAGCCAGCAGGGCTGCGGGACTGCGGGTCGGGTCGAGCTGGGGGGGACCAGGCTGCCAACAGGGAGCCCACACAAAAATAACAGCAATAAACAAATGATGAAGATATGTATGAAGATGCATTATAATAATGGGGAGGCGGTGGGGGGGGGGTGCACGATAATAGTAAATAAGTTGTTGCCTGTCTCATTGTGTGGCGGCGGCGGAGGCTGCCAGACGGCGTGGAGGGGCTCGGAGGGGGCTTGGTTTGCGGCTTCTCCAATGCGGATGGAAATGGTTTCCAGGTACTCGCGGCGGAACGGAGCGCAGCGCGACGGCACGCAAATAATGCCATGCGCCGCCGCCGCAGCAGCAGCAGCTTTCTGTGAAACACGAGACGGAATATACTGAAAATACGCCGAATGTCTCCGGCGCGATGATTGTGTTACCTGTTTGTTTCTCCTTGTTATTAAATGATTACAAGGCGACGGTGCGTGTGTTGCAGGACGGACAGCAGTGGCGGCTGGGCCCGTGCAAGTGGTGCATGTGCTCCGGGGGCGTGGCGCGGTGCACGGTGGAGCGGTGCCCGACGCAGCAGCAGTGCCCGCCGCACCAGCGCCTGCAGCAGGTGGACGGCGAGTGCTGCCCCAAGTGCGTCGACACGGACGGCGTGTGCGCCGTGTTCGGCGACCCGCACTACCGCACGTTCGACGGCAAGTTCTTCAGCTTCCAAGGCTCGTGCAAGTACCAGCTGGCCGCCGACTGCGTCGACCACAAGTTCTCGATCCGCGTCACCAACGACGCCCGCGCCACCAAGACGTCGTCCTGGACCAAGACGGTGTCCATCAAGGTGAGGATCGCGAGCCCCTCTGGGGAGCCCGCTGGGCGGCTGGCGCGGCCACCCCTCGGCGCCCCGACTTGACCACGCCCAATGTCCCCTGTGCAGGTCGGCAGCGTTAAGGTGAACCTCGGTCAGCGCCTCCGCGTCAAGGTGAACGGGGTCCGCATCACGCCGCCCTTCCGCCTGGCCGGCACGCCCGGGAACGCGTCGGGCGGCGGCCTGCCCGGGGTGGACGCGAGCAGCGAGGTGACGGTGGAGCGGCGCGAGGACACGGTCCTCGTCACGACGGGCGTGGGCGTCAAGGTGACCTGGGACGGCAACTCGTTCCTGGAGGTGTCCGTGCCCACCTCGTTCAAGAACAAGCTGTGCGGCCTGTGCGGCAACTACAACTCGCTGGCCCGCGACGACCTGGCCACGCGGCGCGGCCGCCTCGCCGCCGACGTGGAGAGGTTCGCGGCCTCGTGGCGCGTGGGCGGGCGGCACGCGTGCGCGCGGCCGGGGCTGGCCGGGCTGGGGCTCGGCCCCGGCAGGCCCGGGGGCCGCCAGCATCACCAGGACGCGCCGCCCGCCTGCCTGCGCCTCAGCAGCACCAGGAGGATCCGCGACTACCGACGCTGCAAACCCCTCATGGGCGACCCCTTCGCGGCCTGCCACAAGAAGGTCAACGCCGAGATGTACTTCAAGTGAGTATCGCGTTAGCCGCGGGCCGACTGATTTGCTCCGCCTGCACCGTGCACGCACGCGTGCTTGAGGGAGAGTCTAACAACGGAAGCCGGCGAATTGGCCACTATGCGGCGGTGTTCGCCGTTCTCATAGCGCCTTGTGGGCAGGCAGCCACTGCGGGGTGGCCTACCCCACGTTTCGCAGGCGCCAAGTTCACGTTGTTCGCCGTATGGACCCGAGTTGGACGAACGTAAATGCTTTCGAGGTACCCCGAAACCCCAGTTTCAGAGGAAGTTATGTAAATTTAAACTTGCCTTACACCGGCCACCGGCCCTACAACATTCGGGTCGTGCCGCATGCATAGGGTTCATTTCATTGTTTCAAATCCTGGGGATGAGGGAACTGGTGCATAATTGGCTCAAAATTAAAACGGATAAAAACGATCCGGACCCTTATTACCGCACCCATCGTATCCGGATGGACCTAGTTGAAAACCAAGTTTTCAGAAGAAACTTGTCCGATAGGGGTGATGGGGGTAGTGGACATTTGATCTCTAAAGGTGGCGTTCAAGTCCCTCAACGGCTGCAATGAAGGTGTAGTCTAACTCTCTTGTCGTTTGTTCTGATTGCAGGTCGTGCCTATTGGACATGTGCGAGTGCCCGTCGGGCCGCTGCTACTGCGAGGCCTTTACGGCGTACGCGTACGAGTGTCGGCGGGCCGGGGCGGCCCTGGGCGACTGGCGGGCGGCCACGGGCTGCGTGGCGGGCTGGGCGGAGGAGTCGAGGGTGCCCATCGGGCCACCCTTCCCGCCGCACCAGCGGCCCAGGGGCGGCCACCACCACGGTGGCCGGGGAGGAAACCGGGGAGGCGGCGGCGGCGGTGGTGGCGGCGGCAAGGGGGGCGGCGCGCGTGCCCACACCAGCAGCACGACGAGCAGTAGCTTCCCGCGGGTGGCGCAGCTTCAGCACCTGACGGGACTGTCCGGTCTGCGTCTGCCGCAGCCCGGAGCCTCCAGGCCGCCACCCCCAACATTGCACTGAAACTCTCTAGTCTCCATCGCCATCCTCCTCAACACCCCGCCACGCCCCGCCACGCCTCGCCCGCCCCGCAGGCCATCGATCTCTGTAGAAGGCGAAGAACTCCAGGACCTGGCCCAACGCGGCGGGGCGAGGCAGCGCGAGGACTCACTTGTCTGGACGGTGCGTTCTCGGCCGACAGTTCTCTCCCTCGCGGGTGCCGCGCCCGTTCAGTTTCTCATCTCTGTCTGTTCCCCACCCAGGCCGGGCGCACTGCTCCGGAGGCTGCTCCGGGCCGCGGCGGCCAGCGCGGCGGCGGCGGCCAACGGGACGGAGAAACGTCATCCCGCCGCGGAGAGGCGTTGCGTTCATCTCGCATTCTTCGCGTTCCAGCCGATGCAAAACAACTCACCGTGCTCCGCCGTGCTCCGGAGACCACCTGGTGGGCAGCCTCCGGCCGCGCCCCGCCCCGCTGGTCCGCGCCGCGCCGGCCCGCGCCGGGCCCCCCGCCGAGCTGCACGGGCGTCGCGACGCGTGGTCGGGCCGAGCGGCCGGCCGGCTGACCCTTTGCCCGCCCGCCGGCGGAGAGGCGACGCGCCAGTCTGGACCCCTCGCTCTCGTCGGAATGCCCCGCTGGCCCCGGGCCGCTGCGTCTCCTTGCACAACTTGTCTATTATGCAACAACGACAAGGATACGCGGGTCGCCCGGGCCACGGCGCGGCGCGCGACAGGATGAGCGGACGGCGCCGCGCCCAGCCCGGGGAGACTTCAATTAAAAGGTGAAAAGACGAAAACCTCGACGACGGGGAATGCCGCGCGCGCCACGCCCCGGCCGGCTTCGTCTTCCTCATCCGCTCGATCACCAGCCGACATGACTCTTTCGAGTTCGACCACCGCGAGTGCGGGTTGTATTATGTATTGTATTCAGAACCCTGCTGCATACTGCATTATCAAATTAATTCGCAAAAGCAAGTCCAAGTCATTATTGTTAATAAGTTAAATTAAATAATCTACCGTACTATGAGATTGATGCATATTAAACAATTTTGTGACGACAGAGTATTATTACTATTAAGGATTCATGTATTTTATTGTAATCAAGTCAAATTGTTCAATGTGTATACTGGATTTATAAGTAATGTGTTTGCATGAGTTGAGTCATAAGTTTAGCATTAACTGAGGCATAGCACTTGTCATTGACACAATGAAATTTGTAACTGGTATTGCATTCATTGCACTTTCAGGGACAAGACAGCAAAACACAGATCAAATAACTGAAAGGACTTTTATTTAGGACTTGTGCTATGTGCTCTTGCTGTATCGCAATCAAGGATCTCGTTACCGCATTTTACATTAGGATATTGAAAAAAAAAATTGTATATATTACTTGGCACTGTACATATTGAGTAGAGCTAGCGTTTTGTCATTTAAAAAGAAAAGATTTGTTCCTATAGCATAATGAAATGTGTGCCATTAGGTCTGACAGTATAATAAACAGCCCTTCTGCAGATAAATTAGCTACGCACATTTTTTTTGGACATCATTGGAATTTACATGAAGAGAAATGAGAATACATAAAGTTCCTTGTATTCAGAAATAAAAAAAAAAATCATCAGAAATATCAAGCAGGGGTTTAGAACAATACTGACTTGACACTAACACCGGGAGATCATTAACGTCTAAAGGAAAAGAAATAAGAACACAACTTACAAATGATCGGCACTAACTACTCATGCTTTCATGCTAGAAGAATAAAAAAGTATTTCCTTTTCACATAGACAAGCTTCCGGCAGACTTAAAAAATGTGTGCTAGACAACTATTAAAATTCTAGGACTAAATAAAAACATTTTGTAACAAGGATTCAACAAAACTGAGGTCATTGTTGCACTAAAAGGTACTTCTTTCCAAAATTTAACTTAAAGAATGATACATTGAATAAATAGTTGCTGAGATTGATGAGAGGTCTCATTTGTATAACAAACACGCAGTCTTACAAATAAGGGGAACACTAACATACAGCTGGTTTGATTAAACAGGATAGAATTCACATTTAATTTCTTACAAGATGATGTTCACTTCAGTTAGATGGAGGAATTAATGGAAAATTAGTTAACAATATGGTAATTATCAGGCAAATGTGTAACAATGATCCATGAATCTCTTCGATGATACCACCTCAAAGACAGGTCCACAAGGTCCATATTGTGAAGTTTATTTCCTGTTTAGTTGGAAACGTTCAGTTAGAATTAGCAGTGAAAACAAAAGAACAGTTAAACTTCTTTAAGGAATTCAAAACTTACTTATGCTTTTTTGAGCTCCGACGATCGCGACTGTCGTCTCTCGGACGCTTGCTGCTGCTACTGCTGCTGCTTTTTTTAGGGCTGAAAAATAAATAAATAGGTTGTCACAACAAATGTATGACATACGTAATGTATCCCAACATATTACAACATTCTGAAATATCAATCCCATTTTTTCGGCCACAGAAATATGACATGCAATTATGCAATTTATCTACCAACCCAGAGACCTGATCAGATCCTTGTCAAAAGTAAACAAGGACCAGAAATAAAAACTGCAAACATGGATCCCTCCTCAAAAATGATAAGGCAAAAACTACCGGCTATGGAAAATGACAGAGCAGAAGGAAAAGCAAAGGAAATACAAGTGTGATAGTCATTGCAATGAGGAATACCTGCTATGTTTAGATGAACGAGATGATTTGCTGTCTCTTCCCTTGTCCCTGCTGAATAAGACGAAAGGAAAAAGAAATTGTCAGGAACCCAACATGGAATTACAAAAGAATGAACCACATGCAGCAAGGCAACTTCAGGGTACACCAAGTTAGGTAAGGAATATGCTACCTTTCCACCCACTTTCAAGATAAGAACAGTGACATTCAGACAACACCCAACCATCTACCTACATTCTTTCAGTTGATACAAACACATGGAAAGTCTACTTTAAAATTAAGGAACCTCAGCACCGATGACCAACTAATGGTACAGAAAACACCAACCATAGATTTCTTTAAAAATTTAAGAGCATTAAAAAATAATTTACCTATGTTTGCTTGATTTGTGGTTACTACTGCTTGAACTCTTGTGTTTAGATGAAGAGTGCCTATAATAATAATAATACAGACAATGACAAGTAAATTAAAAAGCAAAATGTACACAGAAACAATTCAAAGAAATCATGGGAAATTACCTGTCCCTATCATTATGCTTTGATTTTTTATCAGGCGAGCGGTGGCTTTCCCTGTGTGAGCCTTTCTTGTTCTTTTTGTCAGCATATTCGTCTTTAAAATCTAGGCGCTCCTTATCTTCCTCAGCAGCCTCTCTCTCAAGGTCCGACCAATCTTTACCAGACTCTTCTGAGCTTCCAAGCTCCTCTTCTAAAAAATCAGTAACAGTCACAGATATTTAAAACTTAATGTAATATACTTACAGTACAACACAGAGAACAAAATTAACGAACCTTCACTGTCAGAATCTTCTGATGCCTCAGAATACTCAGAATCATCATCTGAGTCCTCGTCAGAATCCACATCAGTGGGCTGCATACACACCATTATTAAAACAAATAACAGTAAGTAAAAGAGAAAAAAAGAAAAAAAGATTCAACAAAAAGCACAAATTATGGTCTTATACAGTACCTGATAGGCATCATCCTCTGACACTTCCTCATCTTCTGCGGCTCCTTCCTCTTCATCACTCTCTGGGTCAAGGAAAGTCCACCCACCACTTTCAAAGAACCCAGCAGGGTCATCAGTGATGGTTTTCATAATCTTTGACCAGTTGAGGGACTGGATGCCTTCTGAGTACCGAATATCACATGAGCTACAGAGATAAAAAGGAACAAAGTAGTAAAAACTTCATCACAAGGCACACAAAGAATGTTCAGGAATTTAAAATGATACAGTGTAACAAATGCTTGTGGCGACTTACTTTAACCACTCTTTGACATGATCCAGCATGTTCATGGGAATGGCGTTCACCATAACAACCTTTTTACTATAATCCTTAAAGACAAATATCATGTCAAAATTTTTTAAGTGGAATTGAACTCTTTCAAAATGAACAAGCTCCACATCTTCAAGGGTGACAACAAATGGAGGCTAAAAGAAATATCATATGCACATTAAGTCACACTGAAAATGATTGAAAAAGGTTTAAAGATTAAGTCTTAAACAGCTAATAAGTAGTCCTACCCATTCAGTGAGATTGACAAGAGATCCACTAGTAGGTTGCAATAGAACAGTGCTTCTGTATGGCGCACCAGGGAAGCCCAATTCTCTGAAAGGAGTATCAAATTCGATTTCCTGCTTAGTAAGGGCTTCAACTTTTTCACAAAAGCTCTTGAAAGCTGTCTTTAATTTGTGACGAAGTTCTCTTTCTGCTTGCTCAGCAGCTAAGTCATCTCTGTCATGCATGTGTTGATGCTTCCCTAAATCTGTTGTGATTTCACCCACTTCTGTATAGAATTGTACATCAACATGTTTTTTCTTGCCAAACATTATGGCATGCTGAAAGGGAGAAAGTATGCATGAGTGCTGGTTGATGAAATTAAATCAAATCATAGGGTACCTATAAACAATATTAAACTCAAACCTTTAGGTGGAAATGTAACAAAATAATCATTTCACCATCACATGGTTGAAAGAATGCATTCTTGATGTTGTTATAAAGAATGTCTACTTTGTCCCCACGGACAGAGGTAAAGCGAAAACCATTGGCATGAGCCTCTAATGAACCTGAGCACAGAAGTAGAAGTAGAAGCCTATTAATACAATAAAATACAGAAAAAAAGGATTGTAATAAAACTGTCTATGGCTTACCTGTCATTCTCTTTGTAACAATGTTTGGCCGAATATAAAGGTCTTTGAGTTTTGGGTTACCCTTGTTGTTGGTGGGAACCAAGGTATCTTGTTTCACAAGATCTTCTTTTTCCCTCTCCTCGGCTTCACGATTCTTAAACTTTTTCTGAACTTCTTTGATAAGTCTAAAAGCAGTGTTAAGATTTGAAGATGGTGCTGACAGTTCACCAGGTTCCTTAGTATTAATACTTCGGTAAGTGCTATATAGGGGAAGAAAGAAAGTGTGTCATAAGTTTCTCTTGAAAATTTAAAGATCAGCACATCTTTTAGGAACAAGCATAAATATTTACACTTCTTTCAGGAATGTAGCATCAGGTTGAGGATATGAACCTCCTTCATTACGGCCCATAGTTGCACCAGGATGGAAGAAATTAACACGAAGGTACGTGTAGTCACCCTCTACAGATTGGGATATATTCTTGATGGTGGAAATGTGAAACGGAACAGGTATACCGAAAACTGGCAAAATTACAGTTTCGTACTTCCGATCTGAAGTTTAAAAACATGGTGTTAACCAAAGCATTGAATGTAGGCTTGTAAGTAAGTCTACAGCATTCTAGTAAAATTTTAAGTCCTTACCAACATAAATTTTTAATTCACGAACTTCTGGTTCATTAGGCATCTGACTGCGGGTCTTGTAAGAGACAGTAGATTTGCGAACCTTTTCTTTTTCTTTACCCTCTCCTTGCTGAGCCATTCGAGCACGAGCTGCTTCATTGATTGCTTGGGCAAGCTCTTTCTGATGCTGTTTCCGTTTCTCTTCAGAGGAAGAATCAGTCTACAGCAGATAAATGCGTTGATTAGAAAACCATAAGAAAAGGTTGAAAAATTAATAAAATACATAATTACAAAACTAACCCTAAGCTTTGAATCAAGAACTGCTGTTCTTCTACCTCTTCCTACAAGAGGCTCTTGCTTTTGCTCTTGCTCCTTATCACCTTCATCATCATCATCATCTTCATTTTCATCTTTCAAAAAGATTCCAACATTATTGATTTTCTTCTTCAGCAGAGTAAGAATAGTAGCTGGTTGGCCCTGAGAACAGTCATTTGAATTATAAAGCTTGATCTATACTTACAAACAGTAACAACAATAACTTTATTAAACATACTTACATCATTTACAACAACGGTGTCACCAATAAATAGAGCATAAGTTTTACTCTCTTTGTCAGAAGCTTCTTTGTTGGTCAAGCCAGACAGACCAACATTTACATTGAAAACTGTGCCCTTCTTGACAACAGCTGCAGTTTTAGGCCCAATGGTCAGAGAACTTTCACGAAATTCAATGCCCATAGCAAAACCAAAAGTTTTCGTAAGTTTATCCACAAATTCTGGTTTTTCTTTCTTTACAAATGATAACACTGACTCATACACATCTGACAGTTTTGATCCAGCAACCAGAGCTTTCAGAATCTCTTCTTCTACACTCACTAAGAAGTTGTAGTTGGCTTGCATTGCGTCAGGTGGGTTCACCATGAATGTCCGTACAATATTTGAACAATAGGACTTGTAACGAGCACCCAAAGAGCAAACAATAACGCCAAAGTGAAGCAGATTTTTATCACTGAATGAGATAAAGAAAAAATAAATTTTAACTTGGAAAAATACAGACAGGCTACAGTTACCAGAAAAAACACAACAAAACTCAATTACCTTGTGACACTGAATTTCAGAGCATAGTTTCCACCAGACTGAATAATAGCTGGGTAGCATGTATCAACCTGACCGGTATCAACACCAGTCACATATTTTTTGTCTGTCATGGCATGATCCACACCTTCTGACAGTTTCATGTGTTTTACTTTCTACAATTGCAACAGAATTGATAGATATTTTAAACTGTATTTAAAATAAATGGAATTGGTTAAATTTAAGTTAACCCACCTTGTCAGAATCAATAATATCCATTAGTTGATCCTTGAGATACTTGGTAAAGACATCCATTGTGACGTTGCTAGCTTTCTTCAAAATGGCAAGCTCAGAATCCTCCTTAGGCGCCATGACCAATGCAACAGCAGCACTTACATCAACCTAGGGGTAAAATTAAAAGTGGTAATATGAATTTTTCAATATGATATGCATTTAGAAAAATATGACACAAGATCTTACAGTTTCAAAACTCTCTTTTTTGAGCATACTCCGCCACATATCTGCAAAAGCACCTGGATAGTTCTCTTTACCAAAAAGCCCAACAGTCTTTCCACTTTTACTCTTCTTTATTTCTTCAATGAGCTTTTTCATATGGTTCTTGTCCACATCTCCCTGTAAACACATTAATATGAGGGTTATTTGCGCTAAGTTTTCAGTAAATGAATGAGTAAGGGGTAAGTATAATTGGAATACATATTACCTTATCTCGTGTAAGAAGCTTTACGGGAGGAACATTGTTCTCATCCTTATTAGCCTCAATCTGACGTAAAAATTCAATTTTCTTTTTGCTCGACAAAAAGTGAATAGCCTCAGATGTCAGGATCATGATGGTGTCTTTGAGTTCATACCCCAAAAGCCATGTCTAACACCAAAAACAATTTTTTTTAAGTTTAAGAATATGTACAATGTATTAACATATTTCAGAAATTGAAATGAATGAATGATGATACCTGTAGTGCTGATGATTTGCTGTACATAATATCGTCGTTTTCACCAACTGCTGACACCAAAGCATCCATTTTGCCAAAGCCATCGTCATTACCACCTTCGGCGTCCTGAAAGATAAAAAAAAGACACGAATAAGATATGATAAAATAGAATCTGCCAATTAAAATTTACGTGACGGCTGCATGTTGTTCCTACAATTGGGCACAGTTATAACACAGATTGAGAGAGAGTTGTGAATGTAGTTTATGAGGCCAAGAATTTAAAGAAATGGTTTGGCGAGCAGGGCTAAGTGTCTGTAGACTGTGACATTCATGTAGGCTAAAATGGAAGGTTTGTATCACAGAGAAATCAATCCCCCTGCAATTGTGCAATACACACTTCTGGGGAATAATTCACTAACAAGAGCTAACGAGAACTGTGGGGATGCAATGAACCGCAAAACGAAAAACGAAGAGGCACGAGAGAGTTTTAGTCGTGGCGAGTATAATGAAACGATCCTAATATAAGAAACGCAGTGAAGACAAGCCAATAACATAACCCGGCATTACACTTATCTAAGACAATGAATATCTTCGGACGGGCAAATGCACTCACTAGAAGCTCAACGATTAGAAAGTAAAAGATCCACATTCTCGACGAAATGTTGTACTTCAAAACCAAGACAAATAGAATTATTCCAGGCTTTAGCCTACCTTCCACGCCGAGTACAGCTTCCTCATACGCCGGAAAAACGTATCCTTGTCTAAAGTGGTGCTAGACATTTTGACAGCGATTAGGAGCAATTTTTCGCAGCACAAAGATTCCGGGTTGCCCTCTGCTTACTCCCGGAGCACTGCAATCATTTCTTTCGACAATACTCAGTACTTATTTGAAGTCGTTCCAACACCTAGCGAGCGTACAAACAATAACATGGCGGGAACATAGCGGATTTCAGCAGCACAGATATCAGAAACGAAGAGGCGCAACTCTCGGATTCTCATCCCACGACTACTACCACGTGTTGTTCAACGCTCGTGGAAGCTTCGTACAGCTTTGAATGAACTTGATTCTAGAAAACCTTTAAACCTTCGCACTCCTTCGATAATTTTCAGAGAAATATTACATCAATTCTAAATTGCAGAGTTGCGCAATGAGAGAAATGAAAAGTGTTCAGTCTGAGTAAGACTGCCATACGCCGTAAGGGGCGCTAGTGTCTCGTCGTGTCTAAACCCCGCAGAACCAAATTTCTCCTTAAAATAAATTTGGTTCGAGAAGATCAAGGCATCAAGGCGATCCAGGAAAAAATCCAAACTATATAAGGTGTTGTGTCCAATCAGTGTACGTTTTGAACTAGCACGTTTCTTGTGAAGAGAAGTGCCCCGTTTCGACACATAATCTAAACTATTCATTCCTACAGTTGGCTAGATGGTACTAGACACAGCGCGGGCTGAGTCCGAGTTCTATTTATTTACGTTTTCTATCTATTAACCTCTTTGGCTCTTAGTGACTTTATTAAAAGACAAACAAATAATATTTAATCAATGAATGGATTCATTATCAGTGATGGAACGTACTCAGTGCCCGCCTTTACCCCAACTCAAGATCTTAAGCTGGAATATAAATGGCATTAGGACTGTGAAAAATTTGAAAGGGATGCTTGATGATCTAGATGCTGACATTATTTGCTTGCAAGAGACTAAAGTAACTCGTAAGTCAAATATAAATTGTCAACTTCCCTCCTACTCTTCAATGTTTTCTCTGATGTTTTTATTTTCATTTTGTAGGTGACATGATTGATGAGCCAACTGCCTTAGTCGAGGGTTACAATGCTTATTTCTCATTTTCTCGAGGGCGAAGTGGATATTCAGGTAGCTGATTCAGATTTTATTCTTTTTACTAATTTTCTTAAATAAGTGCTCTTAAACAATTTCTTATCCAGGTGTTGCTACCTATTGTCGAGAAAGAGCTACACCAACTCTTGCTGAGGAAGGTCTGAGTGGTACTTCCTTAATTTCTAAGAATCAATCAGATAATGTAGGCTGTTTAGGTGACGTAGAAATACAATTTTCTCCTCAAGAACTAAAGAGATTAGATAGCGAAGGACGAACAGTTATAACCCAACACAAATTTAAAGTAATTGTCTTTGTTTTATTGTACAGTGTTAGCTACTTTTGTCCTTAGTTTCCAATAATTCATTTTATGTCATTTTTCATGTCATTTTAGAGGAATGATGGATCTGATGGCTTGTTAACAATCTTCAATGTTTACTGCCCTCGAGCTGACCCTGAGAGACCTGATAGGCTGGATTTTAAGTTACATTTTAACAAACTCTTGGAAACTCGTGTAGCTGCAGTGAAGCAAAGTGGGTCTCTTGTTATGGTTGTTGGAGATATCAACATAAGTCATAGACAGATTGATAGATGCGAAAATGTTGATGAGGTAATGATTTCTTTTCTTTTAATTGTTCCTGAACTGTAGATTTAGACTATGTGATAATTTTCTATCTCTTTTTCAGGTTGAGTTTGAGGAAAACCCTTCAAGGCAATGGCTAAATTCATTCCTTATTGACAGCTTACAAGGTGAAACATCCAAGACGTTCAAAGGAGAAGATGCGACTGAGTCCAAGTTAATTGACTCTTTTCGATACTTTTACCCTCATAGGGAAAATTCCTTCACATGCTGGAATACAAAAATAAATGCAAGAGCTACCAACTATGGTTCACGCATTGACTACATTTTTGTGGATAAAATTCTTGTTCAAAATATGGTAGACTCTCTAGTTCTGAGTGAAGTTGAGGGAAGTGATCATTGTCCAGTAATGGGAATTTTTAACTTAGAGCCTGTCAAGTCTATGAAGTGCCCATCAGCCTGTACCAAAAATTTTCCTGAATTTACCGGGATTCAACAAAAACTATCTTCGTTTTTTACCAAAAAATCAGAGTGCCAGCCTGACTTAGAACTTAATCATGAACAAAAGAAAAGAAAGAATGTGGATTGTGACAGTAATACTTCTGACCTTAAATTAGGATGCATTTCTAAAAAACTTAAAACTCAAAGCAGTGTCACCCAAAAGCAGATATCAAGTTTTTTTCAAAAAGCCTCCATATCGGAGACTGAAAAGAATGATGGTGATACAGAAACTTCTGGATGTCAGTCAATGTCCTCAGTAAAATTTACCTCTGAAAAGGAAGAAGACATTCACATTGAAAATATTGCTGAGAAAGTAGAAAAGAGTTCATTAGCCGCTTCAGCATGGCGAAATATGCTAACTGGACCTCGTCCATTACCTTTGTGTAAGGGTCATAAAGAACCATGTGTGGAGAGGACGGTGAAGAAAAAAGGACCAAACTTCAATCGAAAATTCCATGCTTGTGCCAGAGGTGAAGGAAGCAAAACAGATCCGAGAGCTCGTTGTGACCATTTTGAGTGGGCAGCTAAAAAGTAGTAGGTGAGTGGATGTTTTGATGCTCATTTCTAAAGGAAACAAAATTCCAGTTTACTATTATCATCAACACATTTTGCTGTGCGTGAAGGGACAAAAGGGTGAAGCAACAAGATAATACAGTAGTTAGGTTTTTGATACTATGTATATTGTCATTGAATTGTCTTTGACATACTTGTGTTCCATTACTCTTTGAATCAAAATAATATACATTGCAATGTTAAAATTGCCTTAGACTCTCTATGGTACAGCAAATTATGTACAAGACGTATTGCCTACATTAATTAAAATTAGCTATTGTCTTTTCACAGATACTTACACGATCACTTGAGAAAAATTCTTGATACACTGCTACACTAATGTTTATTGATATATCTTTTTTGAACATTTTATTTTTTGATTGCAGTTTCTTTATATGTATACGGAGAGAAAGTTTAGAAAAATGGCAAGTTTTTTTACTCTTTTTACCACCATGATATTGTTGTACTTTAATATGGGGCTGTGCAGTTAGCATCTGTGGGGAAATTTTATTGCCCCTCATTGTTATGATTGTGATAAATGATGAATGTATAGTTTCTCTAAAAAATAATAATCCAAGACTAAAATTGACAGAATTTTGTCACCTCATTTGAACTGTATGACATTTTGCAATGAGAAATGTAATAACAACTAGACAGTCCCATTCAGCTTTATTTGTCTATTGCATTTTTATGAAATGTTGCTAGTTAGGAACGTGGCAATGTTTTGTTCTTGCCTCTTGATCAAAACAAGGCTGATGCAATTTGAATGGCCCAGTCTGAAGCTTATGTTGCATTGTTTTCCTGTATTTAAAGAAAAAGAAAACTTTTAATGTGATATGGTATGTTTTATAAGACAGCAAATACTTTTGTTGTATTTCTGAACTTCTTTTCAAACTACTACTTTAGTGTTCCTACTCTCTAATACTGCTGTACTGCAAGCAATCATTTTTAAGGAATTGTATGACATTTGAAACATTTTTATAAAACTATTCGAAGATTTTACATTTAATAAGCATCACAGGCAGGAAATCAGATAAAGTTTATCAGTGAAAATCAACTATTTTCAGGACTTGTTCACTTTTTATCTTTTTGATTTAAAAGATGAAGTGCAATACTATGACCAATAAGTTCCAACTATGTTGGCAAACTGAAGCTGATTTAAAAGCACTTGAGTAAATATTTTCATTCGACCCCTTTTTTCTGCTATTTCTTTTTTTACAAAAATTCATGTTTTAATACTCATAGAAATTGTACTAAGTACTCAGAAATAGATTACCAAAACTTAACAAATACATAGCTGGCAATTTAGTTTTGGACAATCAATACATCATTGAGACAAATCAATTCAAACAATATTTAAAGAAAAATAAGTGTTGTCACTTTCTTAAAATGACCAGCATTGGTACAACATTAGTGTAAAATGGTATGCTTTGGAAAAAACAAAATACAAGTAAACTAATACAGACCATAATAAATGAAGTCAAATGTTAATAATAGCTCTACCATGTGTGAAGTTTTTACTTGAAACTGTTTTAGTTGTTTTAGAACAATAAGATGAGCTCAAGCAACATGAGAAACAGAAAACACAAGAGACAATACATACTTCACCGAAATATTCTAATCTATATTTGAAAGTTTTACACTTTCATTTGAACACAACTTTTTCAGTAACATTCTGTAAAGGCCTCAAGTTTTCTAAAATTAATTTGTCCTCCTTACAGTATTTCAAACTATAACACATATTCCGCTACTCATAGAAGCTTTCCTGTTTACGGTCACTGTTCCCTACAGCTATTTATTGAGCCATGCGCTCTAACTTGTATGGCAGTATGACAATGTGTCACTGGGAAATCGACCAAATATTGAGAAGCAAAATGTAGAGCCAACATTCTGAAAAGAGAACTTCCAGCGCCACTTGAAAATAAAGCCGCACCAAATACATGTTCTCTCTCATTTTGAAGGTATCAATTGATCAAACTTTTACTTGATGCCAATGCAAGAAGTGCCCTAATATTAGTTACTTATTTGTGAACAAATTTCTTTTTCATGTTAGTTTTTCACCCTCTCGTGGTATTTGAGCACTGACGTCTCAAATGTCTCAAATTGCAGTCATGCATGGCCTCAAATCGGGATCACAGCATAAGGATTGATGGCTGCTCTTTTAGATTTCCTCAGTCAGGTCATGTGAAGAAGTACACCTATTTGAGGTAATACCTAATGTCTCCATTTCAAATGCTATTTTTCCATGACAGCCAAGCAAGCTTTTGTTGTCTCACTCTACCGTTATCTTCTTTTCCTTAAACAGAATTCACTCTGCCAGTAAAGTGAGCACCTTCACAAAAGTGTGAGGGCACTGTCAGGGTAGCACCTCTAGTAGCAGCACCATGGTCCTAGGGGCCTAGGGGCTACAATCAACGCCACACACACTCCGCCTAGAAAAACAAAGAACACAGGAGATGGTAAATCAGCCGTTCTCCCAATACCGAAGTAACACGGTATGGTCATGAGTTAGTCACATTCAAGTTTTTGACATAAAGTTGACTTCTCTGACGTTTCTGTCTAAAATTCGTCAATATGACGTTTTCATGACCATCCTGTGTCACTTGGGATGAACTCAATATCGAGTGGAGAGCCAGTAGGCAACCCCTTCTACAGTAGTTTGACATTCTGATCTCACCTGATGGCGCGATTACAGATGCACCTCTGCGACGTTTCCATCGCTCTTGCCGTTGCCCGATGACTGCTGCCTCGACATCTTGTCCAGCTCAGCCTTGCTCAGGTGGTTGACGATGCCGGCGCCCAGGGAGTCACCCACCACGTTGACCAGGGTGCGGAAGCGGTCGCTGTAACAACGACCGGTAAGTAGGACCAAGATATGGTGGGGTCGCAAGGTGTACGTTTTAGGTTTACGCACAGCAGCCAGTCCACGGCGATGATGAGAGTAACGTCCTGGGCGGGCAAGCCGACGGTGTCCAGCACCATGACCATGGTGACGAGTCCGGCCTGGGGGATGCCGGCAGCGCCTATGCTGGCGAAGGTGGCGGTAATGCTGCAACAGAAAGCGTTGACGGTCCAGTAAAGGCCGGCACGCAAAGGAAAGCCCCAGTCGACATTTCGGTGTAGAGGACAGTATCTCACCTCACAGCCACGATGTGTCCGAAACCCAGCGACAAGTTCCTGACCTGGGCGATGAAGATGGCGGCCACCGCCTCGTACAGCGCGGTGCCGTCCATGTTGATGGTGGCCCCGATGGGCATCACGAACCGAGAGACGCGGACGTCGACGCCGTTAAACTCCTCCAGGCAGTTCATGGAGACTGGCAGGGTGGCTGAGCTGTGGGCGCAACGAATGAATGAATCAGACCAATGGGGTGGTGATGAGCGTGCGATGAGGTGCGTGACCAGCCTCTTTGCCGCGATATTCTCTCCAGCCACAGCCACCCCCACCCCCTCAAGGCCCTGCGAATACCCCTCGCGGTCGTCGGGGGGTCGGGGCGGGTGGGGTGG